TCGCATAAAAATCACAGATAGGAAACGCTTTTATATATTTCATCTGGATTAGATTCATGTTCATAGTATTTTCACTACCATCTTTCCTAGTAGTAAGAATACCTTTTATTTTAGATTAGAATTTAGGAATTCTTATATTATTAGAAACACAAATATCAAAAAATATCTTAATACTAGTAATAGTTACGACTGCTTTTTAGCTATTAATAAAATATCTGTAAAGGTAGAGGACATAATAAAGGATATTATTAATATATTCTTTAGCTTTTTTTATATTGACTGGCATGAATAAAATATCTTAATGATTTGCTATTTCATCATTAAGAATTATAGTTGAATCCTCATCATTTCTTGCAACTAATTTATTACAAGTTGGGATACCTATTAAGTAATTCTCATCAAAATAACGAAGTATCTGACCAACTTTTTCTTTTTTAGCCTTTAGGTGAAAAAAGGCAAGGGCATTGAGGAAGTCTGAAAGCTTAGATTAGGTCATTTTTAGATAATTTTTGAAAGCTATATAATATTCTAAACTCAAAATATACTGTTCTGGAAAAAAATTTAAATAAAAAATAAATATAGAAATATAAGAGATACCTAATGAGAGCTGAATTTATTTGCCAATATCTTTCTAATGAAGGGAATATATGTGAACGAATTAGTATCTGAAAAGAAGGATGCAAAATTTATTGAAAAAGACGCTAATGAAATCCTTACAAATAATATAGAAAACCAATCACTTCAACTTATGATATATGTAATTTACGTGTAGATAAGTATCATTTGAAAACATATTATCATAGAAAGAAGCTAAATGCCTTAGAAAAATCTGCCCTAGAAAAATCTGCCTTAGGAAATTTTTGACTTTCAAAAACAGAAGCAAAATAGCAAATTAACTTTATTAGAATACTAGAATAGTTTCTTGAATGGTCTACTCTAGGTATTCTAGATGACCTAAAAAATTTCAGACTTCTTTACTTTTTATTTTTTTTATCTATAGGTATAGCAAAAATATAGCATACTCATAGCATACATATAACATACTGATATATATACCGAAAAGATATCATAAAAAAAATTCATTTTTTTTCTCTAGAACTTTATTTTATTAGAACACCTAAGATACCTAGGGAAGATAATACAGAAACAAGATAAAATAAAAAAAGAATGCTTTCTCCTATAATAAACTCTGCCCTAGGAGATGATCTAGTAAAATTTCTGCTTTAGAATGCTTAAAATTTAGCATACTCATTGTTTTAATCTAGATTAAATCATAATCAGACCTCAGAAGTGCTTATAACATCCCGCTATTACACCAGCAACAAATAGACAATAGTTGAATTATGAAATAGTGCACTTCTGGTAATCAAAAGGGTTTAGACCAAGATAATACATATTGCATCTCCAACTTCAGAATGCAAAATCAGCATACATATACTAGCAATTAATAGGTAATAGTTAGATTGCGAAATGGTATACTTCTGGCAATCAAATGAGCTGACTATAGAAATGTATATCATACCTAACTAATAGAATTTGTTATATTATATGGTAGAGGATATTCAGTATCATAATAGGATCATGAGACTGACACAATAGGATGCAGTATAAATTTAGCTAACATTATTTCACAATTTCAGCCAGATCTTTAGGCATAATAACTTGGCATCTAAGCTAGCCTGAAACTGGCAAACTAATAGAAATACTTTAGTTTCCTGCCAGTTTTATGATAGTTTCAAGACATTATCAATTTACTATCATAGTGCTAAGCTGAATCTTTGAATCACATACCTAAAAGATCAGCCAAAATTAATTGCAAATCTATTGCGTCACCTGATATGATATTTTTTACACTATTTCAACATATAGAAAGGCAATTAAATAGACACAAAGGGAAAGTACTCCAAAGGAAATAAAAAGAAGATAGAGCAATAAAATCAAGCAAATATCTATAAAGCAATAAAAAGGCTACAGAGCAATAAAATCAAATGGATAGTAATAAAGTAATAAAAAGGTTACAGAACACTAAAAACAGTAATTAGGTAACAATATATTCATAACTAGGTAACAGTTTACTTACAACTAGATAACATTATAGCTGAACTGGATAACACTCTTATAAAAGTGTTATCCAGTTCATCTTCAAGGTTCTTGTAAAATACCACAATTAGTATCTAATGATTTTACTTCTTACAACTTAATAAAATTTATTTCTCTTTCATGTGATCATATTTATCATCAATATTTTTACAATATCTTGAGTATAAATGTTTATATTGTTTAAAATATATTAAAAATGAAATTAATAATAAGGTAAAATCTATTATTTCTAGAATTACTAAAGAAAATTTTAAAGTTGAACTTGATTAAGAAGATGAAATTCAATTAATAGAAAATGATGAACCTGAAGATTTATCAAAGCAAACATTATTTGATTCTCAAGTTACAGAACAATTTAAAATAGCTCTTAAAATATTTATGAAAAATTAATAATTTTTATAAAAAAATGCGATATTAATTAGTCCGGAGCGTAAGCGTAGAACTTTATATTATATTATTTTAACAATAAAATTGAACCAATCAAAATCAATTATTTTAATGATAATTAGGAAATGATCGACATAAATTGACCAATCATACAAATGTCTGCCATGCTTTACTAACCTTGATCGATTTTAATAAATTAGCTGATAACGATAAACTTAAAATGTCTAACTCAAATTCTACCTTTCGTTCAATTGCCCCAAAACCACAAGAATTTTTATACCACCGATCGAACCTACTACTAATACTACTCCAACACCCGCTAAACCAAAAATTTATAAAAAAAAGAGTGAAAACACTTCGATCCGATCAAAAAAAATTGTGCTCAATTATAGCTACAATTTTATTGGTTATTGATTTTGCCGATCCGAGCGATCCGATCCAGAAATGAGAATTGAACAGGGCTAGTAACAACGTGACGAGTTAGTAGTTAGAATTAAAATTGATTTTTTAGATCCGTAATTTTATAAATTTCGACCAATTATAAATTAGTAGACACATGACTTTGAATTTACGTATTTATTTGATATATTTCTAAATGATTTTTCCGAAATTAAATGTATCTGTGAAACCAGACCATATGGTGGAAAATCAAAAAAAAAAAATTCTCAGAACCTGATTTTCATTTTTATATTTGGAAAAAAAAGATCCTCTTATTAACTGAGATAATTGATCGTCGTAATAATTAAATTTCATTTCAACAGATAAATATGATGGATGAAGATGATCCAACTCAACGTTGAACGTATAGGTATATCTATAAAAGTGAAATTTAAAGTGTATTTGTTACCATTATATGCAGTGATGATGCTAAGGCTTTGCTCGAAAAGCCGATGTTATCCTTTTTACATTATGAATTTGAGAATGTTAATATGATATTTAAACTTTTTGCTCCTATTCCAGAAAGTCTAGTTTTCTGTTTTATAAAACTTCCAATAATTATGTTTTTATTTTTTTTATGAATTATATTGACGAATATTAATTATTACATGAACGAATAAATAATATTATGTTTTAATTAGGGGAAATTTCTTTTTTAAGGTGTAACATTTTAAATATGCAATAACTTGAACCTGAATCTTTCCCGCTACGTAACCCCCCATCCTTATATCCCTTATGTTCATTATGTTCATTATGTCCATTATATTCGTTAAATCCAACCCCTATTTTAATATCATGTCTAACAGAAGAACTTTTACGTGTCTGAGATGGATCCTGCCGTCCTCTTGAATTTATTTGATAAGATGTTCTTGAAGGAACTAATCTTTTTGTGACATTATAATTATCATCCGAATTTGAAACAGGTTGATAATTTCTTGGAGGTAAAGAATTTTGACCAAAATTATTGTTAATTCGATGATCGATTAACCTCCTTGAAACTGGTAAAGGAGGGATATTATTGTGGAATTGAAAATTACGTGGATTGTTGTTATTGATACCATTAAACGAATTTGGAGGTGGTGGTGCATTTCTATACCTTCCCCCTTCCATTCTTGTGGAAGAATGATTTGCAATCGGAAACGAGTTACTCATAGAATTATTATTACGAGGAATTGGTTGTCGACTTCTGTTATTATTAACTTCAACAACATTTTTGTCTCCGTTCATTGGTACTTGTCTTTTAATAAAAGTATGATTCGTTTGAGGCATAAATGACTTATTTGATGTATTGGGATTGGAATTGGAATCGTATAACCAGTTTGGTAGGTAACCACCTTTACTTTCATAATATTCCCTTAAAATGCGAGAAATATGAGTTTCACCATCCCAATCATCCTTTTCTGATTCTAAATGAATAATAAACTCTTACTTTAAATTCAAAGAACAAGGAGAAAAAAATTTTCATCAGAAAAAAAAAAAAAATACTTACCATTATCCGAATCTCCACCAGCATTATTGTATATATCTGCAGCATTACTCATCAATTTATTCCATAAATTATAACTTTTAAATTTACTCGAACTAAAACTATTCGTTTCAGAAGAATTTGTTGAAGGGGGTTGGAATTTCTTTGGTATTGCAGGCAATGCAGGTATGGCTTCTAAAGTTGGTATATCACACTTATGTCTTGCAGGATATAAGCCAACATCTTGACCACAATCTTTGCATAATATTACAATTCGTGAAACGCGGTAATCTATAACTTCAGCCAACATTTTTTTTAAAAATAAAAATAAAAACTTTAAACCGAATAAAATTAATTCTAAATAATATGCAATAATGAAGGCATGAAAACAATTGTATTTTTAAAATCTATATTTTTTATACGTTTGTCCAGCAACGTAAAAAAAAAAAAAAAAAAAAAAAAAAAAAAATGGATGATTTTTTTTTTTTTTTCCTCGAAACTAATAAATCAAAAAATAAGTTGTACAGATTGATAATCAAATTCATTACCAAATTTAAATAATTCTTTCAACAAATAGTTACTGTATGTTATTATTGATCAATTAACAAGTATGGTATTGTCATCAATAAAAGGTTTACCAATAGAATGTATAAGAACTTTTAATTCACATCAAGGTCCCGTTCATATAGCCAGATATAATACCGGTGGTGAATACATTTTAAGTGGTGGACAAGATAGGACCATTCGTCTATGGAACCCTGATTCTGGTTTAAATATTAAAACATATACTGGTCATGGTAAAGAAGTTTTAGACCTATCCGTGTAAGTAGTATAATGGAAGAAAATGAGTTGTGATAAAGAATACTTATTGAAAAACATCGAATAGGACGCAAGATAATTCTCGATTCGCGTCATGTGGTGGTGATAGACAAATTTATTATTGGGATGTTTCAACCGGGACTACTGTTCGTCGATTTGAAGGTCACAACCAGGTATTATTTCAATGAAAGGTTTTTCATTACATGAACTTTCTTAAAATGATTAACTTCGCGTTAAATTCTAGCGAGTAAATGCAGTTTCGTTTAATTGGGAAGGAACGGTCTTGGCGAGTGGTAAGGTTGATTTGATTTCTTATAATTGAATGAATATTCTTGATTCTTTTCGTTAATTTTTTTTTTTTTTTTCTTCCTTAAAGGTTCATATGATACGACAATAAGATTATGGGATTGCAGGTAAAATACATCATCTATCCTTTTTTAAAATCCTTCCCACTCATCCAATTCTTGCAATTGATAGATCACATGCTCGTACCCCAATACAAATTCTAGAAGAACCCAAAGATAGTATAACTTCATTACATGTGATTCAATATGAAATTGTTTCCGGAAGCGCTGATGGTTGCATACGTACTCATGATATTAGAAAGGGGGCTCTTATAACTGACTTGATTTCGCGTAAGTTAAAAAATGATTTATTATTCCTTTGCAAACCGTATTAAAAGATACTTATTGTCATGAAAAAAAAGATCCTGTTACTTCAGTTCGTGTATCAGGAGATAATAATTGTATCCTTGCTAGTTCCCTTGACAATTCTATTAGATTAATGGATCGGGCAAATGGAGGCCTTTTAAATGAGTAAGAAAATTTGACTCCTTGATTTCTCAATCCATTTGACATGGTTCATTAAATTTTATTTCTTATAGGTTTAAAGGTCATAAAAATGCTTCATACAAAATTCATTCTTGTTTGTCAAATAATGATGCTCATGTGATAAGTGGATCAGAAGATGGAAAAATTTACATTTGGGACTTATTAGAAGTAAAATAACCTTTTTTTTTTTTTTCATCATTTCATCACTTTTTTTTTTAAAAAAATTAATACGTATTTTCTTTTTTAGGGAAATCTTTTAACTTCGTTCAAAGCTCATTCCAACGTTGTTACATGTGTTACATTTCATCCTAGATACGATTATATGATATCTACTAGTGTGGATGGAACTGCAAAATATTGGAAACCACAAACTACTTAATGTTACTGTCAAAGCCAAATTGTATTTTAATAAATAATCCACTCATTGAGATGATAAGTTAATTTGGTTGTTAAATTAAAGAGGAATGAATCATCATTTGATAATTATAATGAACCAATTGCTTTTCTTTTTTGGGGAAATTGTTAGATAACAGAAATTTTTTTTTTAAATACACGAGAAAATGAAAAAAGGAAATAATGCGAATAAACTATTGTGAACTTGAAAAAAAAAGATGCATTATTATTTTTTTAAAATTATCGCCTCGGTGTTATTCTTCATCCTCTTCTTCACTCTCGCTTTCGACTGTCTTAAGCCAATTAACAAAAGGTTCCATTTGTTTTAAAAATATGCCCTTGCATTGAGATTTGGCTCCCTTTTCATACCAATAAAATATTGCCGTCTCAGATACAACATCTTCTTCATACAATATTTTTACAATTAAACGGAAATGTTTCATCAATTTTGTGTCTTCGTGACAATAAACTTGAATTTTTTGCAAAAGTGCAAGTTCTGATTTGGGATTAGAGGCAAATGCAGCGAGAATTTTAGCATTTTTCTATTAAAAAAAAAAACATATAAATGAAATCAAGTTAAGTATTGTCATATATCATAAGTTAAATATGCAACAAAAGATACATAAACGAATAGTCTTACTTTAACTTGACGCGAGGCTTGATTTTCAATCATTTCTGGGCGAGTACTCCAATCAACAGCTCGCATTAATGCATCCCAGACAATTTGAACAAAATCACTTTCCTGCCAATTACCTTCCTTAATGCGTTGTTTAAGATAAGAAACAACCTATAATAATAAATGTAACAAAAAATTTATTTTACTAAATGGGCTTGCCAACAAAGGGAATAACAAAATTATATAAAAATAATATGATTAAATACTTCTTGTGTATTGTTGTCGTCTTTCAACATATCCTTAGCATGTTCAATCGTTTGTTCTCTCATCGAATTTTTTTGTTTTTGACTATGATATTCAACGAGCTGTTTCATCTCCTCCGCTTCAAAATAACGAGCAAAGTACTCTTCGTCTCGTTTATTTGGAGGAAAGAATTCCAAAAGCTTGTTGTCTATTCCTGCCTTTTTAAGAGAACTACCTAGGTGATCAATATTCTGTTCACCAAGGAAAGCCTTGAATGCAGCAGTGACAAATTGGAGTGAGAGGCCTTCTTTGACAAGATGTTCTTTGAACAAAACTGTCAAAACGTTAATGCTAGTCATTTGACCAGAAGCAAACAAGCCAATTGCAGTGGCAAGTTTATTATTTTCCTCGGTGCTCCATTTGTTAATATATTGTAGTAAATTTTTAATAGTTTCTTCGAAACTACGTTGCAAATATTTGTAACGGCGAATTAGCTTATTAAAAACTTCAACATGCTTTTTGATACTTTCGATATTATCTTCGGCAGTGAAAATTGAAAATGGACTACGTTCTGCTCCATCGTCAACAATTGTGCCTCCGGGGGCTAATGATAAATACATAGAGGAAAAAAAAAAAAGTCGAAGGATCAATAGATCAATTCAAGTGATTTAGAATTAAATAGATCATTATATAACTTACCTAATACACCACCGGTAAAAAGAATTTCGAATAAGGTTTCGCCGTATTTTCTAAACTCGAGGGTATTTCCAGATGAATCTAATTTCTGAGATATCTCTTCAAAGCTTCCAGGCTGAGCTTCCAAAAGTGTTTTTAAAATACTATCTCTAAAAACTATATAATGTCAATTAGTTAAATAAATAAATGTAGCATTGCTTATTATTAAAGATTTTAAAAAAAAAATTTACTAGTAGGTTCGTATTTAGCTTGAGCTTTTTGTTGACCCTAGTTTGAAAAGATAAGAAACAATGAATATCAGAACAATCAAGATTTAAGATTTAGATTGTGAAGTTTAGGAAAATAGATTTAGTAAATGGACGGACCTTTCTCGCTTTGATTTTAACACCATGTAAAGCTGGTAAACCCTTTGAGCTGCTAGAGTTGGCGGTGTTTTGTTGCGCACTCATTAAAATATCAGAAAATTTATAAGGACTTTTTTTTTGTTAAAAATGAGAAAATTTATTTTTTTTAAATTTTTTTAAAAAAATAATAATAATAATAAAAATAATAAATTTAAATATGAAGTGAAATTTTTTTGTTATCAAAACATAAATATAAATAATGTGAACTTTTCCATGAAATCAATTTGAACCAATTAAAAGTTGTATTTCACAAACAAAGCTTCATATTTAAAGAATGCACTAGGTTTTATTATTATGCCAATGGTCTGATCCATCCGGTCTTTAGCGATCTGTAAAATTAATTAAGCCAAGCCGAATTTAATCTTTACGAAAAAATTAATTTTTAGATAGCCTATTTCTAGTTTTTGATCTTCGATTTATTTATATTTCGGATTTAGCCAAAATTAGTTTTAATTCTATAAATGTGTCGAAATTAAAATGTTAAAGCTAATAACTAATTATTTGTATAAAATATTAAGTATTTAAAGAGGATTTTTCACTATTCTTATTTAAAATACATTCTATACTATAAGAAGAAAATGGCTATCAAGTAATTTAACTTAAAATATGATTATATGAAACTTTTTGCCAAAATTTTTCTAAAATTTGTAAGATAAATTAAAATTATTATATAATTCATTTCTAAAAATTTGTATATTATAAAGTGAATATTAAATAAAAATGGTTCAGATATGTAATTAAGGTTTGAATAAAAGTAAATAAAAATTCATAATTATTAAATATAAATATTTTAATCATTTTTAATAAAAGAATTAAAGAAAGATTTTTTTACTTAAAATAATTTAAATCATCCAAAAATTTTTATATTAATTTTAATCAAATAAAATAACAATAAACATTATTATAACTAGTTATATTATTAAAACTTAATAAACCTTTAATTATATTTATTAAAGACATTCTTATATTTTCAAATAATAGTTATAAAAATACTAATAATATTTTAAACTATTTAAAATTAAAAATTCTAGTAATAATAATAAAAAAAAAAAGAAATATTAATTAAATTTCATATACCATTTTATTATATAAAATAATATTATTAACTAAACTTATTATAGTGATTATCATCTATAAACTGAAATTTCAAAATAACGATAATCACGTAATTTATAAATTTATATTACATGACTTTTATAAATTTCATTATACTTTATTATTTATTTTATTTATTTAACTTTATTAATACATAATCAAAAATACAATGATAGGATTTATATTTTTTAGTAACATATTTTATCAGTTTACTAGTAATTCCTTTTCTATATAAAACATTATAATATTATACTTTCTTAGTAAACTTTCTTATTATAATTGTATTTACAGAGTCTAATACCATTAGAAAAGTATGCTTTAAATCTGATCAAGAATAATTACAGTTTTCTCAAGTAAACCTTTTTACCATTCTCTAATATTGTTTAATATAATTGAGTTCATAATGAAACTTTGAATAAAAAAATATATTTATATACAGTTATAATATTATTTTTTTTAATATACTTTTTTGTACTAAAAAATTAGATTATAATAAAATAATTCATTGTATGCAACAATTTACCTGATTTTTATAATTATCTTATCTTTACATAAATAATAATTAGTATTTAATTCATTTTTCTATAAGTCATGTTTAAATAGAACCTGTTTTATTTTTTTTAGTTTACTATTTTTATTTATCATTAATTAATACAGATTATTTGGTCTAAAAATAGTATCTCTTAATTTTAGTTACTTTTCTCTGAATTTTAAGTTTATTCTATTAGTATAAGAGCATTAAATTTAAATGTTGTATGATTTGAATTATTATTGAATATAAATAATATAATAAATTAGAAAAAGTTTTTCAAAAATAAGAATAGTTTTTGTTTAACTTGTTTTATTAAATATTTACTTATTTAAAAACCTTATTAATCTTTACCTGATTAAAGATAAATACGTACTTTTTTAAATATAAAATAATTTTTTTAAAATTGTTACATATATAATTTAAACTGATCATATCTTTTCTAATAAAATTTACTAATCATAATGAAGCAGCTATTACTCTTTTTGCGTAATGCTAATTTCTCAAATTTTACCTATATTTCTTATTTTTTATTATTAGAATAATATATATATTCATAATATATTATAAGGATTATTTATTTATCATTAGATTCTAATATTGATAGAATTTATTTCATATTTCACCTTCTTATTTTACTATAAACTTTTTATAATTATAGATTTTATCTAAAAACAATTTTTAATATTAAGACATTTATAATTATCATAATATATACTTATTATAATATATATTAATTAGTTAATAGTAAGTAATAAGTATATTATATAATAAAAATAAAATTTAATTATCTTATTGGATTGAAAAAAATAATCAAACATATTCAATCAATATGTTATAGTTATTATACTAATAGTTTTTTAATTATTTTCAAATTAATAAGCAATTTTTGCTTAATAAATTCTTTACATTTTAGCAGAATTATAGTTCTACTTTATAAATAAATTCAGGTATAATATTTTTTTTACTATATCTTCAGCATTAATTAATTGTATCATTTTTTAATATTTTTCTTGATAGTTTATTAAAAGACAATTATATTTAAGCCAATAATTTGCATAAATATTGAATAATTTTTACTCTATATAAAGTATATTCAATAAAGCATAATTTTGCAACTTTAACACTAGCTTTTAACTTTCCACTTTTTTTATCATTTAATCTTTTCAAATATTTAAAAATTGCTCTTTTTTTTTATTATATTTAGCTATAATTAATAACTTTTGTTATTCTTTAAACTTAATTTTTAAGTTTTCAATTCTTTTATTTAAATCAAATTGATATTATTCCTTATCTTTCATATTATCTAAACCTTCATCAACATCTTCAGAAGTTAATTAATATTTTTTAAAAAATGTAGTAATTTTAATAGTTTTTTTTATAATATTTGTAAAATAATCATT